GTGTGTGTGTGTGTGTGTGTGTGTGTGTGTGTGTGTGTGTGTGTGTGTGTGTGTTCGGGGGGTCTGAAGCATATTTGCTGACGTTTAAATATAAACAGGAACCAAAAAAAACTACATTAAACTAAATAAAATAAAGCAGTGAATGTGTTTGGACACTTCTAATTAAAAGTAGAATGTATTGCTAAATAAAAAAGGAACTGATTTTTTAATAAAGAACTGGTTTAAGGCGCTGGGCTCTGGAGTGAGGGTTCGTCGTCTGGAGGAGATTGATAAGAACCTCGCTGAGGCCTACAAACCCTCCCAACTTTAACCCCTTCTCAACCAGACACGGGGCAGACAAAACAAAACAAAACGAGTAAAAACAGACACTCACTCGGACTACGTAGTTAAACCTCCTCGTGTCCTTGATGGCGCTGCAGAAATCCAAGCGATTGAAGGCCTCGCCGAGCGTGCAGTATCCGTGGCGCTGGGGGAATTTAATTATCAGGGTATTAGATTGCAATCCTTCGCAAGAACACAGGAGTTGTGTTTGCATTTGGAGTGTTTATAATCAAACCAAACGAGCTGGTTTGTTACCTCCTTGGTGCTTCCTTTATGAACGTAAATCCACTTCTCCCTGTAGAAATCTGAGAGAAAATAAAAGTGTTTCCATCAGCGGCGTGCCGCTGCTCTCATTAGCTCAAGCTCAGAGACAAACACGCAAAGCAAATAAGACGCAGCTCCACGGCTGCTGGGGCTGTCGACAAATTGAAAGAAGAAGAAAACATCCTGGCGAGCTGTAATTCTGCTGTGGAATATTTGATGATAATAATAATAATAATAATAATAATAATATCAAAGTGCTCTTCTTCTGTAGATTGTTTGGGGGTATGTGGGGACTCACAGGGGATCTTGGTGTTGTTGTTCATCAGGTCCTTCTTTCTCTTCTTGGCAGCCATGTCATAGTTGAGGGAGAGCAGCAGGTTCTCCTTGTTGAAGCACTCCGGCTCCTTGACTTTGCAGAAGCTGGAAAAATACAGACAATAAGAAATAAATAAAAACAGAAGGGGGCGCATTTTCACTGTAACTGCAGCACTTCAAAGAGACAAAACAAATGGACACAAGCCTGCACATAACCCCTCGGGACACAGTGAAAGACTTTTGTTTTTTTGTTTGTTTTGAGTCAGTTTTGGACAGTGTCCAGGCTCAGAGCTTCGTTAATCTCCTCACTTGTTGTTGTTGGGTTATTATTAGCTCAGTGATTAGCCTACAAAGGGGAACTTAGCGAGAAGACTGATGGAAACCAGCACTTTGCTTTGATCACCGAGTTGTTTCAGAAACATCTCCCTCCATCCTCCCAAAGCTTTGAAGCAAAACAAGAACTGCGCAGTTTAGGAGTTGCGCAACTTTCACAGCGCGACGCTTCTTCTCAGCGCAGCTATTTTTTCTGGCTAACCAACCTGTCCACTGAGACATTGTTGTTTCTGTCGTCTGCTATCGTCTTCTTCCAACCATCTTCGGTTTTGACCCAGTTCTGACCCGGTGACCTCCAGTCCTGGCCGAGAAACGGCATCCTGTCTAGTTGAAGTTAACTAATTTAAAACAAAAGTTTGTAAAAATAAATAAAAACACAACTTGTGCTGCCACACTTCCCTCCCAGCAAAGCGCTTTTGTTGTCTCCAGTGTTTCTCTATGCTTGACGCTGCGCAGCTCCGTCATTTATCCTCCGAGTCAGAACCCGGAAACGCTCAGGCTCCGCCCACTTTGGAAACTTCTCCGCAGCACGTGGCTTTGTTTATCAACTCCAGTGTTGCAAAAGATGTGCGCAAGAGAGGAGGAGAAGTTGTTCTGTAGTGTCATGGAAAGTCAGGGACAGAAGACACCGATGGCATTCACTCTGAAGCATAAGCATGTTTTTTTTTATTATCTAAAGCAGGTTAGGAGAATGTTACTTCACTTAAAAACATATTTATTACAGTCTTCACCAGACCTGAGCAAGATTACCCTGCCTTATGACTTTGTTTTAGTTTGATACATTTTAAAAGAAAATTAAAATTGATTTGATTATTAAAAGACCAATAGATCTACTTTAAAAGCATCAGTGAAACTGAGCTGTAGCCATTTTTTGTTTTCCATTTTAAATCTAATTGAGTCCAAAAGCTGCAGATGTCCATCAAACGGTTATTTTTTGAGTGTTTCGTTCAAATCCGCCCAGTGGTTCATGAAATATTTTGCTAACAGACAAACATGTTTGACTCCAGTAGTTCATTACAAAGTTTTATTCAAAGATTCCACACATTAAGGTAGAGCTTGAAGTATGTGTTGTGGATCAGTCTCAGCTACTACCACACCAAATTCTAATTCAATACGATAAAACTGGCAGAGCTGTGGCCATTTTTATGATAGATAAAACTGATTAGCCATGGGGGCCATCTTGTATTGGGTTGAGCCCAAAAGTTTATCAGCTGCTGACGTCCATCTGATGGTTATCCTTTAAACGTTTCATTAAAATCCGCCAAGTGATTTATGAGATATTTTACTAACAGACGTTGCATTAACTCAAAGAATTAAGGCCAAAGTTTTGAGCAAAGATGTTGTACAATGTGTGATGCTTGAAAAAATTTATTGGTACTGACTCTCATCTACTACCACCCCAAGTTGTAGCTCAGTATCTGGACAGCTGACTGAGTTAGAGCCTTTTTGTGTTTGTTAGGTTCAGGTGGCTGAGACGGCCATCTTGAATTGGATTCACTTTAAAAATGAATCAATTGTAGATGTACAACCAGCAATGACTTTCTGAGAGTTTTATCAAAATCCGTTCAGTGGTTCATGAGGTACTTTGCTAACAGACAGACAGGTTTGACTCCAATAGTTAATTGTACAATTTTATACAAAGATCTCACACAGTCTATTAGAGCTTAAAGTATGTGTTGTGGATCAGTCTCAGCTACTACCACACCAAATTCTAACTCAAGTCGTAGCCATTTTTACGATGGCTAAAATTGATTAGCCACGTTGGCCATCTTGAATTGGGTTGATTGCAAAATTTAAACAGTTGTAGCTGTACATCCAATGATCAATTTCTGAGAGTTTCATTAAAATTCATCTAGTGGTTCATGAGATATTTTGCTTACACAACCAACAAACACATGCAAGAAGCACCTTTTCCCTTTTGGCAGCAGGCAGTAAATTATAGTTTGTGTTTTTTTTGACTGATGTGATGTGATTGTGTAAGCCAACTGCAAACTATGAGCCTTTTACAGGAAGAATTTGGTTTTAGAAAGTGTTTTCTTAAATCTGGTCAGTGTTTTCTGCCAGTGTAAATAAAAAAGAGAGAAACTCATTTAGGCTCCTCAGAACTGTGGCTGTAAAGAAGTCGTCTGTTTCTTTGTCCCTGCTGGATTCTTACACAGCATTAAGTTGCACTGTGTTTATACCTCTGTATTTAAATCCCCCCACCCTGAAAAAAATCAGCTGCAACTGATGAAGGAAGACTTTCTGTGGGTCTTTTTCTTGATTTCGTTCTTGAAAGATAACAACACATCCCAGCCAGTGCTCTGGATCAGCTTGATTAAACACACTTATCTTACAGACTGTATTTGAAAGTTTTATTGATTTGTTTATCACATTTATAGTGTTTCTAGTGTTTCTGTCTCACTCAAAGACACACAAACACAGGTAGTTTGAGTCATCTGGTGCTGCTTTCTACAAGTCCTACGCGGCAAGTATTTAGCTGATCTAATCAGCAAGCAGGAAAAAGTAAGAAGAGCTATTCTCGGTCCCCGTAACTCATGACACCCTATACAATCAGTCAAACGTGTCAGCTGCAGCACAGTGTGGACATGAAGCGGGCTCCTCTTCCAGGAAGCAGCACACCAGATTCTGCTCAGCTCCTTCATGTGTCGCGGTGCGTCCGCTCTGTTGGGGGCGGCCGTCGTGCACGTGTGGATGATCTAAATGCACACTCATAGTTCCAGCCTGCTTCTGTTACAGTCTGTGGGTTTCCTGGTTGTTTTTCTGGCCGTCTTTTGCTAGTCTAAATTATTACATTTAAAATTATAACTCTAATTCAAGTAGAATAGCCTATTGTCAACATAATTATGGAGTGTGATTTATTTTCAACTCAAAATATCTTCAAACTAACGAAATATAAAGTTATTAATGAGGAAAACCCATCTGGATAACAGCAGACTGACTGTACGTAAAATCTACGACAGGTCTGGACCACTCGTAAATTTTGTTCGTATCTGAAAAAAATCTTAGAATACGAAAACATTGGTGAATGCCACAAATTCTCCTAAATCACTCGTACGCACAACTTAAGAACAAATCTGTGCGTACGAACGGTTCTTGCATGAGGCCCAATGTTTCTTGGCAATAAATCTTACAGAGTTAGAAAGTCTGCTCATTTCTCTTTAAAATGGGATCACATTTGTAAGGAACACATTTGTGGGATGAGCAGTGTTGCACACATGAACAATTAGCCAAATGTTCTTTGTCATTGACCAACATCTTATTTTATTGTTGCTATTCACACTTGTTTTGAGTTTCTGGTACCTCCAGACGCTGCCAATCAGGTGCCAGATAAAATACATAATAAATAATTAACAAGGAAATAATCTACCAAACACGAATTTCCTTACATTTTTTCACATGACATAAAAGAGAAGACAGTTAGTCCTCTGCAGGAGGAGAGCCTTACATTAGAAACCACAGCAGAATGAAATAATTCCCATCGTTCCCAACTGTTCAGAGGATGATATGTGTGAAAAGTGGAACTTCAAAACTGAAACTGTAACACTGTGATACCGTTATTGGGACAGAGTAATAAACATGGTGCTGTTAGTCCCTGAAGTCTGTTTAATTCTATTTGTGGGGCAGGATGAACTACAGGATGACACGGAAAGTCCCAGCAAATGTCTGATCACTCAGTGACTAAACCCTGACCTAATACCCTCTTTAGTTTCTGTTTAATTTATTCACTGTATGATTAACAGAGCGAGCAGCAGTATCATTTACAGTTTCAAAAGGAAAAGGAAAGTCATAAATTGTAGAGTATCTTAGATGGCAATTCTAAGTTTTTATCCCACCACTGTCACAAAATGTAATCTTTGTTTTGGTTGGTGATGTCATAAAAGTCCAGTTCAGACTAAATTTTGTACACAAAACACAAGTTCAGAAATAAATATGAACATGATCTCTGAGTCTTAAGTCAGCTTTGCGTATGATGTTTTACAACAATGGCAGTTTTTAAAACAATATAATTAATGTTTTCATTAAGACCGTGTGGTTTAAACAGTATTTCTTACAGATAGACTTTGCCAACTTGTTTCTACTAAAATAATTGGATGCATATTATGGTTCCTGGAGGATTAGATTGTTTATAAGGACTACTGTTCTTTCCATCCATTCTTTATCTCAACCCGCTTCTTCATTTTAAGTTACTCATATCCAGCAGTCACTGTGAGAGGGGCAGGTCCATCACAAACTCAGACAGCAGGTTTACTTCTGGTTCCTAGGGTTCCTAATGTGAGGCAGAGCTTTTAGTTGTCAGGCTCCTCTCTTGTGGAGCTAACTTTTAGTTTCTGTTCATGAGGCTGACACTGTCTACTTTTAAGACTAATGGTGCGTTCACACCGAACGCGATTTCAGCATCAGGAGCATCAGGTTTACATGCAAAGTCTATGGTGGATGCGCTTCAATCAGCGTCAGGAAGTGCTGCGGCGCCTCAAGCGCGATTAGAGCAGCGCGATTTGAACGATTTGAGCTTCGACGTGCTTGATGCGCAAATCGCTGAAGTTAGAAAATCTGAACTTTTGCAGCTCGTCGCGCCGCGTCAACCAATCAGAGAGACTCCATGTGTGACGTAGCGACATATTTCCTGACGGGACAGTTTACTGAATGATGTCCACTAACCTGAAACAGATGGAGAGGAGCTCTTTAGCTGAAATCGAGTGCCTGAAGTCGGTGTCCTGACAGGAGAAATCCGCACCACTGCGTGGCAGCGGCTTATCAGACTGGACTCGGGACAAAAATAGTCCTGAAAGCGAACTGTGAGCCTCTCCCGCAGCTCCTGGGAATATCTCTGAATTATCTGGTGAATTAATTATGAATTAATTATTTGATGAACGTGACATGCTCTTGCTCTCTGTAAATAAAGCAAAGCCACTTCCTCGTCCGACATTAAACAGAGCCCGACAGAGGAGGGAGGGGCGGGGAGGCTCTTGCCGTGCAGCGCTTCAAGAGCTGTCCTGCGTCTGACCTCAAAGTGCACAAGCGTCCAACTTGAAGCGTTGCGTGCGATTGTGAAGCTGAAATCGCGTTCGGTGTGAACGCAGCATTAGGCTTAAGTCTTTACTTTTGATAAATCCTATAGGGTTGGCTTGTATTATCCTGAATTATTATTTTTTATAAGCTTCTAAAAGACTTAAGGTCTGGTTATAGACAAGACCTAAGACCATTGATCCAGCAACATCACAGCACGTTTGTGAATGTTGGAAAATCTGGTATTTCTGTTGTTAACTGAAGTGAGGCACCATTTTGTAAATTTGTCACAAAGACACCACTGCACTGTGTGAACATGTATTTAAGGTTGGGCAATCCTGGTCCTCGAGGGCCGCTGTCCTCCATGTTTTACCTGTTTTCATGCTCTAAAAACACCTGATTCAGTGATTAGATTCCCTTCTCAAAGCACGTAAGATAGCAGCCCTAGAGGATCAGGGTTGCCCATCCCTGATGTATCCACTCTGCCTGGCTGGTCTGCACAGCCTGTATCTCCACGCTGTCTCCCCTGAGCACAAAAACTGTCCAATGTCCTTCCACAAGTTCTTTGACTATCTATATACATTTTTTATTTGACTGTCTTTATTATTTTCACTGGAACAGTTGTAAAGATGGCTGTATTTTTTAACAGCCTCGGCCAGCTGCTCTTTGGGAAGTGGAAATGAGATCAGCAGCCACTTATCACAAACAAACACACCCATGAGGTTGTGACCAATCACACAATACTTAGACCATTATCTGAGGTGTCAGCTGGGGGCATGAGAACAAAAACATACATGCTTCGGACTGCTGAACGTTATTGACCATGTGTCTCTTTCTACTCTGCATGTTTATACCTGTAACTACTGCTGCCATTAACTTGTGTTTCATAATTTTTACATAAAAAGCTACATCTGCATCAATGCTTCTGTGTTTGTGTCTCTTTCTTTTCTTATCAAACCCCAGACAGTAAAGGCAGGTGGCTGCTCATTCTGGTTCTGATGTAGTTTCTTCCTGTTAAAAAGCAGTCATTCCTTTCCACTGTCACCATTATGCCGGTGAAGGTGAGGGACTGGGATAATGTCAGGATTCATCACAATATGTTGGCTTCATTCAATAACTTTTACTAACTGGCATCACATTAAATAGAGCATGTGAAAGTAGTGTATTTCAATAAGAACTAATTAACTGCAATTGGATCTGAATTGGTTTTATTTGTTGGACTTGCATTTACAATCGAATTTGATTAAAATTGCATTTTCAAGCTATTCACATTGTCGGTGCACCTGTATTTGTTTTGGCTACAATCTTACATTAGTTTTACGGAGCTGATGAAGTCTGGGGATTGGGAGGATTTCCAAACCAACCATTTTTTAGCCGATTGTTTATTTTCATTGGAAATACCATATTTTAGCACACGTAAGTCAAACTATGAGTGTGTTACGTTATCATTGTTGAAGTCAGTTTTTTTTAATCTGTGAGTTGAAACTTTGCATAAGTTAATAAACATAAACTTTCATTATGTATATCATTATAGTTTTAAAACAGTATCAGTTTTCTTCTGTTAATTTTCTCCTCTGTTTTTGTTGTGATATAATGATAAGACACAACAGCTGGTCAGTCCTGCTTGACCCAGCAGACACACATAAACACAGTTTAGCACAGTTACACAAATATCCACCTGTTGCCGCTCCTCGTGGATGAGTTTCATCACTCGCTCAGATTCTCTGTTGTGAAATACACTCATCAGTTTCTCTGTCTCTGGCCTCACATCTGCCAGCTCATTCGGCAACAAGCCTCACGAGGTGTAACCCTCACCCTCCTGTTTGTTACTCAAAATAACAGCAGGTCACCTATAGGTTTTCCAACAGTCCCTCCGCTCCGTTTCATAGAAGCAAGGAAACATCTGAAACCTTTGACCCAAAGAGTTCTGGTTTCATGGAAATGCTCTGTAGTAATGCTTATGTCTTTATAAAATGCTGATATTGGTATCTGGAAGTTCTCAGTAAATACGATTACATGAGCTGCTCAGCTGTTACTAGTCATGACTTTCAAAGTTCATTTTAAAGAAAATAGTGTTTGCAAGTTCTGAATAATCTGCATTGATCTTACTATGAAACGTCATGTTTGAAACAAAACGAACAAAATGTTCTTTTACAAATACTGTACAATATACAATTGCTCTTTCTCTCTCTCTCTCCCTGTGTGTGTGTGTGTGTGGGGAGGGGGGGTCGGCTTTGGTGACATTTGGGGACAATTGGTGCATTTGGGGACAAAAGTCGAGTCCCCATTTGGTTTAAATGCCATTGGTGGGTTGGGGGTTGGGTTTAGGACCAAGGTGTAAATTGAGTTTAGGTTAGTTTTAGGGTCAGGTGAGGTTAGCCTTAGGGTTTGTGGTCAGGGTTAGGCTGTAGAAATGTAATGGAAGTCAATGGAATGTCCCCAATTAGATAGCCGTGCAAACGTGTGTGTGTGTACGGGTTTTTCCTACAACATGGGGTATTTTTTACAAAAAAAAGCAGCCAGGTGGGGACCGAAGTGAATCGTGGGGACCAATCATGTCATGTCCCCACAGGTCCAAATGCATGTTACAGGTGTGGGGTTAGGTTTAGGACCAAGGTTTAGGTTAGTTTTAGGGTCAGGTAAGTTTCTGTGAGGTTAATTTTAGAGTATATGGTCAGGGTTAGGATATAAAGTCTAAAAAACATGAATGGAAGTCAATGGAAGGTCCCCACGAGAAACAAACGTGTGTGTGTGTGTGTGTGTGTGGTGCAGGAACAAGTCCAGACTTGTAGACGTCTGAACAGGATCAGTCACATCAAACAGACAGAAGTGAGATGAGGATGATCTCCTGAGATTCACTGTCAGCTGATGAGAAATGAAGCGAGGATATAAAAAAACGAACTGAAATGGTAAATTATGAATAAATAAAAGAGGGAAAATTAAGACATTAGAAACAAGTTCAAAATGTATCAAATTTAATGAAACACATAAAAAAAAAGACAAACCGTGACAATGTCTTGAGTTATATTTAGTTATTTTATTGAGTTACTTTCTTGTAATCTTTAAAATGATCTTGAGCAACATTGTTTTGACTTCAGCTGTTTTTTCATTCCGACAAGGAATGTTTGTTTTACTTGTTTAAAACACCTCAGCCTGACCTATGACTTATTCAGATATAGTCTCCTAGAGATGAAACATTTTATATTAGAACCAGCAGGACAGTGTTGGCACAGCTAACCAGGATGTTTTGCTATAACACTAATCTGCTAATTAAAATAATTAATTTGTAAATACTAAATTAAACCGGTAAAAAAAATTAGCTAACGCTCACCTGTCTACAGAGATTTCACAGATTCCAAGTTTCAACACTTTTTTTTGAACAGTTAAAAAAACCAAACAAGACAAACAATGCTAATACAAACTGTTAAGTTTTACAGGTTGCGATGTATATATTCTGAGAAATAAAAAAGTTTCAAGGCAAATCTGTGTGACGAATAGTTAGCTTTGCCATTAGCTGTTAGCTGATTAGCAGAACCGTGCCCACCACTGCAGCGAGATGATTCCTAAAGTGCTACGAGATGAAACTTTAACATACGATAAGTAAGGAACCTCAGGTCTTTGTTTGATTATTCCCTGTCTCATTAAAAACAATGTTCAGATATCTGCTGTGGCCTAGGCAGTGTCTCCTGACACTTCTTTTGTCCTCCGCTTGTTCACTTTACACATGTTTTATCAGCACAATACGCTGTCGTGGTCAGGTACAAGAACCAAATGAGACAATGAGGGGAAAAGCAGCCAAAGTCCAAAAAATAAATAAATAAATGTAAAAATCTACAGACAACTTGGCAAACTCTTGATCAAGACCATTTTACAGAATTTGAAGAAAATCTGATTATTGGACAGAAAATATAAAGACATGAAGATTGAAGATTTTTGCGTACTAGTAATATTTTAAAAATATTAGCAATCGCATAACAGTTTCATCACAGTTTTCCAGTGTTTGTATATACAGTGTCTGTAACCTCAGAGCTGAGAGCAGAGCATAGCGTCAACTCGCAACCAAACAGCCTCAAGGATGCAAACATGACAAATAAAAAGCTCTCGATTCAAAGCAGGCTGAAATCAGCACTTTGGGACGTTACACATTTTACGAACAGGCTGTGCTGAAGAGCAGCTTTTGTTTTTAATGTTCAGGTGTTGAATCAAAGCTTGAAAAAAGTAAACATTTAAATCACTGTGTTAAATGTTGGTCAAATTGCCATCAAGTTGTTTGTTTTTAACTAATAAAACCTTTAATACACACACCAAAAAATACATTATAAAGGACTTTTTTTTCCAATATCTTTTCCCTGTGTTATGATTTTGCCCAGTTTTGCGACACACTGGTCAGAGTCAGGAAGCCGTGGTCAAACAGTTTATAAGGCAGACTGCCTTTACTCGTCCAGGTGTCTGTCTTTGGGTCGTAGCACTCGAAGGTGTCCACGTCCTCAATGAGGTCGTGTCCGCTGACGTAGCGCCCGCCTGTGACGTACACGTTGTCACCGAGGACGGTGGCAGAATGGTGCATCCTCCTCTCCTTCAGGCTGGCACACCTGATGAACTTGTTGGCCTTGGTGTCGTACGCCATCATTCTGCGGGTGTAGCCTGGGACAGCAGACACATTAATATGACAGCGGTGGCACCGGGGGCTCCGACAGAACGTTGCAATGTCACTCCACCATCATTTTTACCCAGGAAACAGGCTAGAATCGCCAACAGGGTAGTCTTTTGTCAACCTAAGTGTCTTTTGTTTTAATAAAAATAACTTTAAAACATCAGTAAGGCCAAGATGAAATGATGAATATAATATTTAAATATTTTATGTTAATTTTATTTTAAATAGTCTGATAAAAGTTTATGAACAGATAACATCTGTTCTAGATAGGTTTCAACTTTAATGTTTAAATTAACAAGAACTATTTTCAAACAGCAACAAGCAGTTCAAGTAAATGCTTTATTATAAATTTATATTTTGTAGTAATATTCCAGCAGTAAGTTTATATTAATCCTAATGGAGGTGCTTTCAGGTTGTGCTGGAAAAGCAACTGCTAACTGCTGCTGCTCTAGCAAATAACCGTAGTATTGTACTGTATGTAAACCATGATCTAATGTAATCAGTGATGTAAAGCATTATGAAGTGGTGTTTGCTGAAACTGTCATAAAGATTTTGCGATTTGAGTTGTTTTAAAATGGCAACAAATCCACTTTGGTTTGGGCAGATTGAGCAGATCCAGTCAAAATTAAACTATTTCTCCAAATTCATTTATTTGAGTGAGTTTTAAAAAAAATCTGAGATTATCCTACAGACATGTATGTGTTGTCTGAAGTTTTCTGAAATTCGTTTCAAAATGGACCTTTCTAGAAAACTGTTGTGAGTTTTTGTTTGTGTATTTTAATTTCTCAGACATTTTAGCCTGTTACAGCTCCAGAGTTGTAAAATAACTACAAATACTTTGTTACTGTACTTAAGTAGAAATTTTGGTTATCTGTACTTTACTTGAGTAATTATTTTTCAGCCTACTTTTTTACTTTTACTCATTACATTTTTACACAATTGTCTGTACTTTCTACTCACTACATTTTTAAAAAAGGTAAGAAGTAGGAAGTCGTTACTCCTATTTTATTCTGAGTTGTTATTACTTTAAAAAAACTATCCTGATAAATTGTGTCTCCTGGATAGAGTGAATTTAATTGTTGTTGGATGAGAAGTATAAATATAAACCATTCTGACACCCTATTAGCTTGTACACAACCCATCACAGCTGCACGCHDTTWGAAAAAATATTTTTTGGAGAAGTCACCTCCCAATAAATGTCATTTTGGAAAATCTAACTGCTCACTTTTACTCAGTACTTTTACTTTTAATACTTAAGTAGAGTTTGTGTCAGAAATTCACAAAAAGTACAAAAAATATCGGATACTTTAAGACTTTTACTCAAGTAATATTTTTAGAGAAGACTTTAACTTTAACCAAAGCATTTTTATGATAAGATACTTGTAGTTTTACTCAAGTATCACTTTGAGGTACTTTATTCAACACTGTACGGCTCTAACACTTGCTTGTACCTCCGACGATGTAGATTTTATCCTCCAAAGCAACAGCAGGAGCCGAAACATTCTTCACTGTTCTGTTCTCCATCTTAGACCACATGTTCCTGCCGATGTGGTAAACCTATGATGGGGGAAGTGCAGGGAACGGACATAAAGTGAGTGGATGGTTGGGTAAAAAAGAGAAAGAAACACTTTGAGTGTAATTTCACCTGTATGAGTCTGACAGGGTTTTGCATGGCGTCCTCTCCTCCGAACACATAGATTCTGTGGTTGACAGCGGTGACTGCAGGGTGGAGCACAGCCTCAGGCATCGGGGTCATCCACTCCCACTGGTTGAACATACTGTTGTACCTTAAATGACAGCATAGAGAGATTGATTGTTTGTTTGTGGATTTTGCAGCTCAATTAGCATCGGTGGGCACAGTTAACCAGAAAGTTAGATTCGCTAACTCATAATCCGCTAACTAAAAACATAGCTTCGCCAATGCTTAACCACTAATTTTGTTTTTAAATACCGGAAGCTAACACTAAAGAAGTAAAGAATAAATTAGCGTAAGCTAACCCTAACAGCTAAGATGACTGTCAGTCTGTCACATGTCTTCGTGCGAGACAGGTGGGTCTTACACAAACCTGTTGACGTTAGTTTAATTCTATTGGTTTGATTTAAAGGTGGGCGGGGTCACCTGTGGCAATTCAGCCAATCTCTGAGTTAGCCAAGCCTAACAGGTGGACACACGAAGAGGAAATAGAGGCAAATAAACAGTTTTTCAGTCAACAACTTACACTTTATTTACTGTATAAAAATACTGAACAAACCAAAAAGACTTTTTGAAAAGACAAAACCATACCATGTCTATGCTGTAACTATGAATCCAGTTTCATTGTCTTTGTATGTTTTGGTAAAACAACATTTTTTGGGATGCAGTTGCACTGTAAAAAATGAAATGTTGGATTTACTTAACCATGTTATGTTACCTGGTTCCATTTAACTGAGTTGAGTAAATTCAAAGCAATATCCCAGTTTTTTTAACCAAAGAACATGAGCATGTTGCTTTGAATTTACTCAACTCAGTTAAGTGGAACCAGGTAACATAACATGGTTAAGTAAATCCAACATTTCATTTTTAGAGTGTGGGTTTGAATGTAACAGGTGATTTAACTTTGTCATATTCCGGATACTTATTTCATAATTCTTGTTCAAATTATTATGTGTAAATCAATTTGAACAAATTTGAATTTTTAAAAGTTTGTAGTAAAAAATACCTGAGAAAAAAGGTCAATTTAACACTATTGTGCTGTAAATGTAACTGTCTCATTTTGTTTTCAGAATTACAATTTATCTTTGTTTTAAATACAGCAATTAGTAATTATGAAGAAAAAATGTTGTCGTTTTAACATATTGTTAATGCAAAAAACAGTGATACTTTGTTTCAGATTTTACAGCATATCACTGTTAATTAAACATTGCCTTTCTGTATTTCACTTTACAAAATATTTCTGTCACCATTTTACAGACATTTACTGTAAAATTCACGTACATTTTTTACAGTGTATCTATACCTGTTTGAAAACAGTATAGACCATTTAGTCTTTAGCTACTTACCTACTTATACCTGTGCTACTTAGCTATTGGCAAAGATTAATTTAGTTAAAGCTAATTGGTCAGGTAATGGTTTTCAAAGCTGATTAGCGGAACCATGTGCACCACTGCTTATTAGTAACAGTAAGAGTTGACTGGCTTTCTTACCTTTCCACACTGTCTGTTAGCCGTCTGTCAGGTCCAAGGCCACCCAGGACGAAAATGAAATGCAGGTAGGAGACACTGTGGTGGGCAAAGTGAGGCTGAAGCATGGGCTCTGCTGTCCGCCACTGGTTGGTTTTGAGGGACAAGGTGTAGACGGTCCTGCTGACTTGGTTATCCTTTGTATTTATCATCCAGCCTCCAAGAACGTACAATACACTGTGAAGGGCGACGTAGGACGCTTTGTAAAGGCTAACAGGCAGCTTGGCGAGTTGAAGCCACTTCTGGCTCTTCTCATTGAAGGCTAGCGCTTCCCTCGAGGTCAGTTCGTTGTTCTTCCTCCCTCCGACTACCAACAGCATGTCATCGTAGGTGCAGCGCCGCGGGGCAGCCCAAAGAGAATCCATTGAAAAGTCTTTGTCGCTCTTAATGCCGACAGAAAACATCAGGCGTCTCACAGATTCGATGAGCTCAGTACAGAGGGTGGATGACTGGATCAAAGGGTCATTTGCGATGAACTGGAAGAGGTAGGTGGGGTGGATGTAGCGCAGGCGAACTTTCTTGAAAAGGTCGCTGATCGCCCCACATCTGGATATGGGGTCGTGATGAATCCAAGCAACGAGTGTCTCAAAGACCTGCTCCTCCTCTGCGCAAAGGCTATCATCATCCAGGTATCCCATCAGCTCCTGTAAGGAAAGCTCACACAGATCCTCAGAGACCGACACATCGGAGAAGCTCCTCATGGCCATCTCTTTAGCTTTGTCTCTTAAACTGTTACAATTCATTATGTCAGAAAGTCTTATCATGCTTAAGCAGTTGTTGGGTCTGAGTTGCCCCTGAAGGAAACTCGAGCAGGCCTCGAAAAGGTTTTCGTACTGCAACAGGGACGCCGCCTGCATCAGAGAGAGCACGATGTCCATGCTGATGCTAATGAGTCCAGTGTAAACGTAGTTGATGATGCTGCTCAGGATACTTGACGGGACGCTCTTCAGGTCGATCTTGGTCTGCTGGCTCTCCACAAAGTTGTTGCAGAACATGGCTCTGAAGTAAGGGCTGCTGCACACCAGGACGCTACGATGGCAGGGGATCTGTGTGGTCCCCGAACACAGCACCACGTCCGTCAGGATGCTCTCCTGCCTCAGTCTGTTGAGCTGCAGAAGCAAGGAGGAGGAATGCTCCTCATCTTTGTAGAGGTGGACCTCCGCTGCCAAGGGATCCATCCTGAGAACGGGTGAAGATGTTACAAAAAATTCATTTGAATTGTTTTTGCATTGAAAGTACTACTTTAATCGAATTTAACCAAACCCTGGATAAGATTAACTAAACCTATAAGATTACTTTAGTAATTACTTTTATACAATAACGGAAATGTGAAAATTGATTGCTTTTGCTTTTTATTTAAGCAAATAAGAATAAAATGGTTTTCAAGATTAACCTCAATGCAGTGTCATTAATTCATTCTCAAACCATATTAGAGTGAATTATTGCCCTTGTACATAAAAGTAGAATTAAATTTCTCATTGAAATATTAACAATAAGTATCCTATATATTGAACTTACACACTAGCAGTATATTTTCCTAAATAGTGCCTGTGTTTTGTCTGATTCTGCTGGTTTTTGTTGTTTTGTTTTTTGCTTTGACGTTCCTGTGGGAGAACTTGTTGTGTTTTGTTATGCTGTTGGCGAATGTAAAGATCGTAGCTACAGCTCTTCCTTTTCATGCACAAATGTGTCATTCTAAACTTGAAATGAAAATTTTATAAAATACAAATCATCAATTCTGACCTTTAGATTCTGCAAACATATTAAAACATTATTAACAGCCCCACTGCAGATCTCAGAGCCTTACAAGTCTTACCTATTTTTATCTTCCTCCTTACTGATGTTTTTGTTGGATCCAACAAGCTTCAAAGCAGGTTCTCAGCAGGAAACGTATTGCGTTGCCATTTTGCTGAACTCTCTTCCCTTTTCTTCTTGTGTTGATGCTGTGTGACCGTACGCGCTCCTCTCTTTGTAGGGGGAGTTTGTTTGCACACTGTTTGTTGTTATGGTCTCCTTCCACGAGGCCTGTGTACATTCCTCCCCTAAAAATAGAGCCCCTCTTTGGCAACATGGCAGCAGACTCACATGAGCTTTTCGAGAATCGTACTCCATCACCTGTCTGTCTACTGTTTTTCCTCGTCCTCTTCTGCTCTCCTTATTTATTACAAAAACATCTCACATTTTTACACATCAGATTTTTGTCCTCAAACCGTCTGTATCTTTGTCTGGCAGCAAAAAAAAACAGCACTTTTGCTCGATAACACTCACTGTGTAGGTATAAAAACAGGATTGCTGCAGGCTTGTGTTTAATAAAAAGGGAGCATGAACATGCAAAATAGTCTGGATGTAATATTACAAACAAGTCGCAGCAAGTTCAGTGAAATTTCCTTCCCATCAGCAGACGTTTGCAGTTAACAGAGCAAAATGAAGGAGGTTTTAACTCAGTTGGGCTTTAATTTTATAACATTTATGCTTTACGCATTAAGAAAAAGCCTAATTTATCTGTGTGTCAGCAACAGATGCTTGCCTTTTCCTATGGCTGTATTTTCCAAACTCATTTCCATCTCATTTGTTTCGGGCTCCTCGCGATGAGGAGGAAAAAAAAGGGCTCATTCTCTGCTGCTTTTGTAGGAAACATCCCACAAGGTGGCATTCTGATTGTTTACCCATTCCCCACAGCTGGAGAAGAATCAAAGCATGTTGCTTGAAATGTGGGCACGTAAAGACAACAAAAACCACAAACAAACAAAAAAGGAAAATTTTAGTCATCGCATTTACGAACGAGGCATGTTTTATTTCTTGTGTGCAGGCTTGTAACGCAGGAGCACGGCGAATCAGACACAAAAAAATGCTGCTTGGATTGAATTCAGTGAGTGGTGAATCACTGGTTGAGTTCTGTGAGCTGCACTGCATCTTCCACGGAGATCCTCTGAACAGTTTGTGCTCTGCTCGGCAGCTGATGCAAAACAACAACCTGCTGCAGTCAAATATTAATGTGAAGTTGAGCACTGAGGTCACAAGGTCCCTTTAAAACTTCCACTGAGCAGTAGCAACAACCGAACAGCACCATCTAGTGGCTCCTGTCTGCTCTTTGCCTTGCAGTCACATTCAATTTGTCTCCCAGCTCTGCTCAGTCAAGGGCGAGCGCTTAACTTATTAGGCCAGAAAAATGAGCAGTTTTGTTTTTGTCGCACCCCCAAATGCTCTGATTGCTTCCTTTGACATCAAGTCTGTTATCTCTGTTCTTTCACCTTCAGCACACGAGCTAAATGGACTCATTACTGTTTGCCTGCAGGCAACAGGTTTTATTAAAAGAGAAGGCTTTCATAGACTTTTACCAGCAGGGGTGTTCCCGCCCATCGCCACATGATCATCTGCTGTGGTTTAATTGAACCGATACCCAGAGGACTACACTGGACTCATTTGTATTGTGCTTTGCATGCCTGTGTGTTCCTAGTAAAGTGAAATGACTTTAGAATCATGAATAGGAAGGTCAGACTTCCTTTGACTTCAGCCTTTTTGAGCAGGATTTGCACTGTGAAAAAGACCCAGTCTGGTTTAGTTTATCTCATCATATTGTGTCAATAGGCACTGAAATAAAAGACTTAAATACACAAACTAGTAGTGAGGATGTGTGCAGGCAGACCCAGGGCGCAGGCAAAAATTCAAAAAGGTAACAAAAAGATTTATTTCATAACAAAAGAAAGGCTGTCGTGGCAGCAAAAACTTACAGAAATCTCAGGAAGACACAAGAACTCTATAGGACAGCTACACAGGCTGGGGATAACAGCTCAATGATCGAACAAAGCACAGAAGACAGAACACAGAATATAAAGAGAAACTAATTAAGGACAACAAGAAACACCTGGAGTAGACACAAGAGGAAACAGGTGAGCTTGGGCGGGGCTGAAGGAATGACAGCAGGGGAGATATACACAGGGGAACACAGAAAAACTTAAAGCAAAAATACACAGATCATGACACTAGTGACACATGATGGGAAAGGTGAAGACACTTAAAATTTATTTGATTTTATTTATTTATTTTTGGCTCATTTAAGATCACTGTTCAAACTGGTGGAAAATATTTGTATCAGACTGAGTCTGAAAAATGCTAATAACAAACTAGGATTTTTCTTTTTTTAAAGAATAAATGCAGCCACTATACAAAATTCCAACATCAACCTTTTTCCTTAAAACCAATTAGTAATTTAAGGCTTACCTGTGTAATAAGCTGACTAAACGTCAACATTTTTGATGTATATACGGCACAAAATGTGTAAAAAGAACAAAAATCTAAAGAAATGTTAACGCTGCTGCAAGTGGCTTCAGTGTCACCACACACATGTGTCTCACAATACCTGGAAGCACATTTAATAAGATAGACAGAAACACAGACTCAAAAATAAACCTTAAACAGTTGTGTAAAGACTATATATATA